TATATATATATATATATATATATTATGTATGGTCTCAATCGATAAAACAGTCCCATATTTTCGTCAGCAAACACGTGCAACCAGTAATGCAAGAGTCATAAAAAGAAAGTCAAAACACGTAGCTTGAGCACACTTAGATCCGACACTCTAAACCTATTGGAAGCACGATCAGTCCAAGAGTCATGACAAACTATCTAACACACGGAGACCCACATTTTGAATGCACATATTTAAATAGAGAGAGTTCAACGAACCGCTCCCACATTGAAAAATAGTTTTCACATAACAGAACCAACTGTGTAAATTCTCTTCTCTTTGCGTGCAACTTGAACCCCAAACTAATGCAGGGCGAGCAAAAAAATCGACAGCATAGGAAACCGTCCGGTTTTGCCTACATGGTTGAATACTTCAACTATTTAACTTCAAACAGACGAAAAATTTGCATCGCTTATTTGAAGAAAGCTGAGAGCTCTGACAACACGAGTAGAGGTTGCCTAAAATGGAAATATTTGATCGTATAAGAGTGAAATCTAAACGTTAAACGAAAATTTTGTGAAAAAGAGAGAAAAATACCAGAGTTAGAAACCTATACATGTAGCATTTTAAACAGCTGCTTAGGAGAAGAAACAATTCATTGGGTTTGCTTAGAAGAAAATCTCAATTTACACTAACACGGGTCAAACTTTTCGTATAGCTGTTGTGGATACCCAACTTTCGGGAAACTGTAGGTAACAGATACAATGTTGCTTCAGTGATACTCGGGTCATTTGATTATCATTTTATGGTCACCCTGGAGATGCTTGACGACAAAACATGAATACTGACATAAATATTTATTTATTTAGTAGGCCTAGCACAGTGCCTTGGTTTAAATATAGTAGAATTTGCAAGTTGGCCTTGAACATTGTGCAAGAAAGTGACCGTCCGAACATTTTAAATCGTATTCAGGTCGTCAAGTATCACAAAGGACAAAAAGTTTCCCCATGCTATGTTTGAACCAATAATGAAATATAAACTTTTTCATGACCTTGTTAAAAGTGCTCAAAGCTTGCACTTGATAAAAATCCGAGATGATAAGACTTTTACTTTCAACCTTGTGAATCTGTGTCCCTTGCCGTCACGTGTCCTGAGCTCGTGGGATGAGGGACAATCTATAGATGTTGCTTAATCAATGCAATTGAAGGAAGTTTTCGACTTTTAATTCTCCCCCAAAACTTAATCAAAACCATTAATGACCAGTAAATGCTAGCCAAGATGATGGGGAAGTATGATTTAGTAAAGATAGTCCCTATCGACACAATTAGGTTATTTAAGAGACGGAACCTCCGAGTTTAACATCATTCTTCGAAAAGAACGAGCCAAATAGGAAATAATGTGTTCAATCCAAGCAATTAGGGGCACTTTTCTACTTTTCTTTCACCCCCAAAAGGCAATCAAAGCCAATGACCAGCAAACAATTGTCAAGATGAGCTGTTCAGTTTTGTTGTTTTTTTAAACTCTAGACAACTTTGTCCCTCGCGAAATGAAATTTAGTGCGACGACAAACTGCATGTTCGCCTTTTCTCAAAGCCGTCATGAATAAGAAATGAACGGCTACTCTTGGTAACATTATAGGCACGTGAGAACGTTTTATTTCTTTAAAAAACGTGTGGAATCACGAGCATTTATTCAGCGTTGGCGTTTTTGGTTGTACAACAATGTCTCTGGTCCTGGTGAGCGGGACGACACATGGTCTAGGGGACAAACAAGGGTTGTTTTGTTTTGTAATTATCTTGCAGACACACTAAGAGGGCTCTCGTGGCCTTAGAGGTTAAGGTGTTGGCCTCTCATTCAAAGGTCCCGGGTTCGAATCCGGGTAGCGATCGAAACATTTTCTTCTCTAAAATTGTCCTCTTTCACCTTCTTTCCTGCTCTCTGACAATGTTCTGACATCTGCTTTCGTCTCCTCTTTCTGCCCCCACCCCCTCACCTTTTTTGCCCCCTCCTCTTTCTGCACACTTTCTACTTTCTACTGCTACTCCTTGGCCCCATTCTTACTGCTGTCTTTCAGCCACACCCCTGATCTTCTGATAGGAAAGACCTACACCTAGCCTTCTCGGATAAGGGCGAAAACCCTCGGAGGTCCCGTGTGCAAGTTGCGCACGTTAAAGAACCTTTGATGGTCTAAAATCGACAAGAGTAGGCTTCGGCCGCCACAAGGGCAAAATTCAAAATTTCCTACCAATCTGAAAAAGTTTAATCTTTCCCACACGTTCATATGACCTTGTGCAGTTGCGAGCGCCGTAAAACACTCACAAAAAAGACACACTAAAATAAGATCTCATTTGAAAAAAAAATTTTTTTATAGTAGAGGATTTTACGGCGCTCGCAACTGCATAAGGTCAGATGAACGCCAAGGGGTGGGTGTTAACGGAGAAGTCTTTACAGGGAATCAGATTTAGACTGCTCACCTCTCTAGCTTCAAGAGCACAAGGTCTGCTTCGACTATCAAGGCACCTCAAAATAGCAGGTCACAAGAGAGTGACAAACATAAAGAAGTAGAAGGAAATGACAATAGTAAGGATCGGGAAAGAAAAAGCAGCAGTTCCCTGTTGTAGATCAGGCACGCGGCACAGTTATGAGCGTGACATGAGTCAGCCCATTTACAATTCTATTATGCTTGAACGAGAAATGTCCCCCCTTTGGGAATGGCCTATTTAGACACTTCAGTCGGTGGCACTGCCCCGGGGGGTGATCTCATTTTGACCTTGCATCAAATAAGTTGTATTGGAAAAGCACTGAATCTTTCCCGTCTCAAACTATCTACTTTATTTCTTCAGTGATAAAAGCTGACAGGTGAGGTACAAAAGAGTTCAGCAGCTGACAGCTGGTACAACAGATTCAGCTGATAAGAACCTTTTCTAAAAACACCGTCAGCCCATACGCAAACCTTTTTTTTCAATGCCACAATAGCAAAATACTAAGGCATATTATCACAATTCGTTGTGATGAGAGCGCTTATAAATAACATTATTTAACGCAAAGATTTAGAGTGCTTTTCACATGCTTTGGTATCAATCTGTTCCAGATCACTACTCATGACCATACAATTCATTGGGAATTACTTTCTTTAACAATCAGTTCAGATTCAACACAGTGAGGCCAGGCCTAACATGCATTTGTCCAGCTTCTAGTGTATTGGTACCCAAGAAAACATAAAAATAACAAAACACTGAAACAGAGGACTTCTTTCAACAACAAAAACAACAATAATAATAAAATATTAATAAAAATAGCATTTGCAAAGCGCAAATTCCCACTCAACAGCAAGCGCTATGCACTTTACAGTCTTATATATAGCACCCCAGCAGACCTTATAGAAGTCTGAAACAATGACAATGTCAACTCCCTGGGAAGCACACAGTGCAAGCTGACATTTTACAGGGGAGTATAACACTGACAAACTGACAAGATTTTTCTCTGTCTTTGTTGTTAAAACATGAACAAAATTAAGTGTACAACAAATCTGTCCACACATAAACAAGAGGCAGAGAAAGCAAGGGACATTAAATAGAAAGATGGGCGCACTAGTGGCATGGGTAGAGTGGACAAAAAGATGGGGGTTGGGAGGTGAGGCTGGCAGAACCTGAATACGGCTAAGGGTTAGAATCCGAAAGACAGACTTTAAAAAATTACATTAGAGGTGATTTTACGCCCCTATCAACACAATTTAGATCACTTAGCCGGCAGGCTTTCAGCCATGCTGAGAGGGACAAAATCTCAGCAAAAAGATCAAATAGAAAGAGATCTATTTTTCAGTTATTATGACTTGCACAATAAGTATGTGTGACAATATGGGTCACAAGTTCGTTTCTTTGAGATCGCACATACACAAAAAAAAGTGCACCAGAGACAAACAAAATTTTTGAGAGGCAAGTGTGTTTAAAAACAGAGACAAGCAGTGGTCATGAGTACTGATATAGTCCAGATATTTGACACAACAAGAAACGACATAAAAATTATAAGACATCACCATTCATAATATAAATGATACTACTTCAATATTATTCTATATAATGGGCTCTTGAGCTTTTCATGGTCTGACTAGTGAATATATTGAATAGCAGTGTGAACATGTCTTAAGACTTAGAGTGAAGGCATGTTTTTAACTCTTTTTTTGGCTCCACTTTTCACTCTGTCTCACAATCATCAATACAAAGAAATGCTGTACTTTTATCTTATGATTTTATACACAGGGAAGTCAACTTTGGCTGATCATGGTTAATCCAAAAATGTCAACTGAAAGTAGAAATTAGCATCCCAATTTTTTTCTATTTGAGCACTATTTGAGCAAACTCTCTAAGAGGAAAACTTGACTAGACTTAGACCAAACAAAATCCGGCGGTTCCACAGATTTAGGTTTTAACGAGCTCCACTGTATTTCTAATTTTACAAAAGGTTGAACAAAAATTGAGATGAAAACCCAAAAATTTGTAACAATTACACACTATAAATATTTTCAAACCGAATCGATCACGCTAATATGGAACTAATTAAAATTTTAAGTAAACAATAGTGCTCATTCACTTGGAAACAGAAAACTTGAAGTTTACTTACTTGAAAAAAATACTTTGCAAAGCAGAATGAAGAACTTTTAAAAATGAAATTAGGAGGAACAGTTCACATTTGGTTTGAAAGGCAGGAAATGGAACAGTTCTAAGAATTCTTAATTTCACTCTCATGGCAAAAACCTTTTCAGAAGAGAAACTACACGATGTGCAACTCTTTGTGATGTTTAAATATTCAAGCGCACTGGGTGTTCCCAAAACAGCAATAAAATTCTCTTTCTTAAATTTTGGAGAATATGAGGGGGTTCCCATGGAAAAAAAGTGTTCATCCGATTAAGTAATTATGACTCCCTATGTTTGTCTAGGAATTCAGCATAATGAGGCGACGACGTCTTCAAAAAGAATATATTCTTAAAAAATATTCCTTGAAACAGATGATTAAAAAAATGGTTATCTCTCTAAATTTCAAATACATCTCATTTTCCAATAATTCCGCACCCTCCGACGGGTTTTCTCAGAGCTGCACACACATATAATTAATATGCTATGAACATGAATATCAACTTATTCCTGTTGCAAAATATCAGTTTTTTAAAAATATTTCATGGTTTTTAACTAACAATCACACAGTTTTTAAGACTTTTCCTAATTGCGTAGTTAGTAATTTCCGTGTATTGGACCAGCACATCAATTATATGATCAGAGATAGGTGAAGCTCGAGCCATTCATAAGAAGGTTTCTTATTAAAGGGGTCATACTGAAATTATGCGAAAAGACACGAAAAGATGCAAAAAGGCACGGAAAGACATCTGATTTGTGTCCCTACAGACTTCAGACTCATTCTCAGGGTTATTTTGACCAAAACTGGGTTAATCCTTACCATCTACAGCCCCTACAAGTTTGTTATAAAAATATTCCGCCATGATGAACACAGAGACTTAAAAGCCAGACTGGCGCATGACGTTCTTTCGATGTTTCATTTTCTTTTTTGTCACACTACAATCATTATTGTAAAATATTATTGTAATTTTTATATTGTGATAGGACTTCCTTACTTTAAATAGAGCTGGGTACCACTGTGACAAGTGGAACATTTTTCAAAATTACGTTGTTAAACGTGTCTTGTGGATTTTTGCCATCATGCAACTCTCTCCACACGAATTCTTTTTTTTTTTTTTTTGTGGTTTACAGCGTTTGCAACTTTACATCTCAAATAAGAGTATAATGAGCGCGTGGGACACATTAAACATTTTCAGTGGGTAGGAAATTTTGAATTTTGAATTTTGCCTGGGTGGTGGCCGAAACCTACTCTATCGATTTTGGACCACCAAGGGATCTTTGGAGCTGTGTACTACTGTGACAAGAGGGGAAAACTATGTCGTTAAACGTGTCTTGTGGATTTTTGCCATGCAACTCTCTCCACACAAATTGTTTGGGTTTTTTTGGTGGTTTACAGCGCTTGCAACTGCATCTTAAGACCATATGAATGCACAGGACACATTTTCAGAGGGTAGAATATTTTGAATTTTGCCCGTGTGGCAGCCGAAGCCTACTGTACTCTTCTCAGATCGATTTTGGACCACCAAGGGATCATTAATGAGAGCAACTTTGGGACCTCTGAGATTTTTCGTCCTTGTCAGAGAAGGCTAGGTGTAGATCACGTCTTTTCGCATTTTAGTATGACCCCTAATTAACTGGCAAAACTAATTTTTAGTCTACAAATTTTATAAAAAATGTTCTTATATATATATATATATATTATTTAACCCAAAACCTGAATGATCTTGAGTTAGAGAAAGGATCATTTGGCAATCCTCCCTTTCTTTTCTGACTTGAACCTCTAGGTCCTCGAGATTAAAAATAAAAAGGCCGGATCTATTTCTCCGAACGTTCGGGAAAATAAACTTGAATTCTATTTCTCCGCACGGTTTCCGTTCTCGAGATTTTTATAATAAGCGAAAGGAGTGGCCCATGTGTATGTGTGTGTGTGTGTGCGAGTGTGCATGCATGTGTGTGAGTGTGTCTGTGTGTGTGTGTGTGTAAGGTGTGAACGGGTGGGGGGGGGGGGCGTGGAGGGAATTTTTTTTTTTAACAAAATAGATTTTAGTTTTTGCTGGGTGACTAAATGCAAAATATAGGTTACTGACAAGGTCGAGCAGTCTTGTTTCCTTGCAGTACCTTTTGAAGGTATTTTCAAATGAAGTATAGACTAGATAGTCCGCGAACGTTGCCCCAACCACATCTGAAGTATCTGAATATTCATGCAGACATTTAAAAATCTCTAGCTCTAGAAATTGAATTTGATGCAAAAAATGCTTCCTCGCAGAATGACAATATGAAAGGATCACGCCTAAATCTTGCAAATAGAAAGTGGCTATTCTCACCCGCCCGGAAGTTCTCGCAAGATCAACTCCTCCCCTCTTCTCTCTCTCTCCGTCTCTTTCTGAATACTGTCTATCGGTGTGGACGATCAAATTGACCAAAATAAAGTTAAAAAATGATGTTAAAACACAAAAGTAAATAAATTTGGTTGTCTACAAAGATGCTACGGCTATTTAACTTTTCGAATCGAGCCGAACTACGCGGGTCGCCATTTTGTTTAGCCCGGAAATTCTCGCGCTACTCCTCTCTCTCTTTCTCTCTCTCTCTCCACTGCCCACAGACAAAATTGTACGCTTTTAGTAGGCTACAATTGTAATGGAACGTTTGTTCACGGCACAGAATTCTACAATTTTTCTGTTATCACAGTGTAGAATTCTGTGGTTTAGGGTGAACGCAAAATTTGGTGAACGCGCACCGGGTGAGAATAGCCACAAGACTCGCCTGCACTATTCTCACTCCGGGTGAGAATAGAGGTGGCCTTGCAAATAACCCAAAAAATCTCGAGATTGGGAACCGTTCGAGGAATTAGAGTTCAACTTTATTTTGCCGAACGTTCTCAGAAATAGTCACTTCATGATATAAATGCAGTTTAAATTTTCTACTTACCCAGAGGGGTGTTCTGCAGATGCCTTCAGACATTATGAATAATCAAAAGTTGACAATGTAGAACTTGAATGTTGAAAGAAAAACTTTGACTTTGATGCACCAAGATCTTTTGATTGAGGTAGAGGAAGAGTTTCAGTCATGGAGTAAGTTCAATTTCAGTTCTGAAACCCAACGCAATAAATTATAGCACAGTGTTACGTAAATAAGGCTTCCTAAAACTTCGGGAATAGAAGGCTACTACAGGCAAAATTACACAAAATGAATGAATCCGGGAAAAACACTGGGACTGGGTGAAGGAAACTAAATTTGAAAGTCCATAAAAACAGGTCTAGATCTAGATTTAGATCTCGATTGCCCAGACAGTACTCTAGATCTAGCTCCACAAATCATTGGTCATTGTCATTGGCTTGATTGATTATGAGGAATTGGAATCTCTTTTAGCTTGTATGCCTACTCTTGTGAGGTGGTAAGGAAAGCACTGATGACGGTGTTGGAACTAATCTACGAAAAATGAAAGTTGAATGCAAATCAAATGCAAGCAGAGTGAAACTGGGAAAATCTCACGTCTCAGAAATTGTATCACAATCATTTGAATCATCCTATTAGAATGTACAGAAAAATTAGATTCTAGATATTAGATCTAGATCTAGAATCTAGATCTAGATCTAGATATATATATCTATAATCTAGATCTAGATTAGTAACACCTCTTCTAAGATTCTAAGACTTGTCTAACAAGACCTTTGCCTTTGCCTCTTCAGTCTAGATTCCAGTTGTTACAGTTAATCTAGCGCCTAAAGTTACAGAAAAAAAAATCGCTTCGTCATCCCCAACCCAAAAGACCGCTTTTCGTAACGTTGACGTTGACCTCTTGTACGTATCCTGGCTCTGGTGTTAGCCTAAAGTATGAAAAAACAACACTTTGTTGACCACTGTCTCTCGACCCAACACACACACATGGCAGACGTGCTTGTCACAGTTGAAGTAGCCTGCAGTCGGCGCCCAGTGCCCATAGGCCCTACGGTAAACATTACAAGCCTAGGTCTTGATCCAGCCAAGCAATCTACAGACAGGAAGTTGACAAGGGCTCAGATCTACCACCACCCCCGATTCCTGGAGCTTGCTGCTATTCACACGGAAGTGTTAAGAAAAACGGGTGGTGTTCGCTCGCACTTGGCCAAGGCCTGAGAGATAGAACTAATCTAGGCTACATTGTAGACCTACATCTCTGAGGCCTCGATCTCTGGTTCATTTTCGTCAGACAGAGGTTAAAACAAGATAATAACAAACGGCTCAGTTTAATCTTCTTATAAGTCTTTGCATATATGAGTCCTAAAGTAAAAATTGGATAACCAGCAGAATCTAAAAGCCCATTAATAAAGGCTAAAGGCCACCACAAATTAAGGTTCCAACAGGTTTTATTCCTACTTTAATATAAGATTCTTAAAGTATCTTTGCTTTAATACATGCCCATGAAACACGGTTCCAAAAGGGAAAGAAAAAAAAACCTCGCGTGAGTTCCCTTCGAGACGTACGTATAGGCGGTCTTGGGAAGAAATGGAAGAAATGTACAGCTTTCACTTAAATGTGAAGGCCGGATGGTGTCGCTGTCTCTAAAACAATTTGTTGGGTAGTTCATGGCGAACCCTTACTTCTAATTGCTGCGATTCTGCTGTGGCCGCATCCAAAGAACAGTATTTGATACAGGGCCCAAATAGAGAAAATTTCTATATTACCGAATCCAGATTTGGGAAGAAAATATTGTTTGGTTTCTGGCCCACAGATCTAGATTCTAGATCTATAAATGAGTGCAATGGAAAGTTTCATCGCTGGCATGGCACATTAATAAATAGTGAAATAGCTACAACTGCCGAAGGTCTCCCCCCCCCCCCCCCCCCCCTCTCTCTCTCTCTCTCTCTCTCTCTCTCTCTCTCTCTCTCTCTCTCTCTCTCTCTCCCTCCCACGCGCTGGACTCTGGACTCATTTGTATGTTAATTGTTATCTTTCTTTACCTTGACGAAGAAACTAAGTCATAACAGTAAGATTGTTGTAAGGTCCTTAGTCATACTAGAGAGGGTTTAGCCATACCTGGTCATACCCAGTCGAAGTAGGTCACGGTGAGATACAGGAATCGCAGCAGACAATGCACAATGCAGAACAGTGAGAACCCCTCGTTGAGTGTTTGATTAAAAACACGTGTCCTAAACTACGGTACACTATTCATTCTCAACTAATACATGATGTATCTTTAAAAGGGCAGTAAAAACATTACTACTTATACTTACACAATAAGCCAATACATAAAGCAGACCAAGACCGCCTCTTAAATAGCCTTAAATAGTGCTGATAGGTTCGTATTAAGCCTTCACTTACTCGTACATGTAGGCCTAGGCCCTACCAAGTACCAAGAGCACTTCTTAATAGGGGTGACAAATGACGCATTATAGAGAGAGGAAGTTCACACT